ACATTTACAATCCTGCTCATTAGCAAATTTTTATTTGCTAATTATTCACACAGCCTCTACCTAGTAACATGCAACACATTGGTGAAATCCTTATCATTTGGCACGGACAACGTATGATGCTGTTAGTTAGATGCAAGCACGACCTCTGACATATCTTTGCCAACTCATGTTTGCCTTCCAAGCTGACTAATTATACATTTTTCACTGCGAATATGCAAATGATAAAAGGCCATTTACATATATTGTATCAGTTGATCATACTCTCCACCCAATGACAGGTTTATCTCAAGAAATAAGGCTATTCTAGCGTTTCCTCATAAATTATGCAAATGAGGCTCTGATTTGAATAAATTATGTATAGTGATGTTAACTTTCACTGGACTTCCAATTATGGCAAGTATTAAATTCCCAGCAGTTACCACCAGAAAATTGTACCAAATTCCCATTAATTATGCAAATTAGGTCTTCATTTACATAATCAATATCTGCCAATGATCTTGTTGTTCTCAACTACATATGTCTAAAGAGATTTATAGCCCTAATATGAAATACAGCAGATTTAGAATTTCCTAATTAATTATGCAAATTAGATCCTGATTTGTATAATTGTATTGTAATTCTGTCAAGCATCACCTATGCTAGCTACATACCAAAAATCATGACGATCTATCAAACTGTTGTTCAGTTATCCTCTCTCGAAAATTGGATCATCAGAAACTGGATCATCGCCTTGAAGGTGAAGAAACCATACAGTAAGCGGCTCAAGCTCAAGCTGTCCGGAGTACATGTCAGCAGACGAGCCAGTTTATGATGAAAATGGAAATCTTTTTTTTTTTACTAAGGCCATTCTTTGGCTGCCCAAATCTACAAAATACAAAAGTGAGCTGGACCAAAAATATCAAACGTCATACTAAAGTGAACAGGTAAAACGGCAGTGAACAAAGAGGGTACCTGGCCCAGTGACCCTTCTTCCACTTCCAAGTCTAAAAATCCCATCTTGTCAGTGTTGAATCAATGGATTTCTAAATGTTAACTTAGGTCCAGTATTGTTTCTGGAGAATTTTCTGAGGCCAGTGAAACACGTTTTCTATGATTTGTGTACGAATATGTACCCCAAGTTCACTCTTTGGGAGTAACTTTTCAGTGGACAGAAATGTTTGTTACAGTTTTTGTTAGTTCACTATTATTTGTGTATGGATATGTACCCCAAGTGTAAAGGCATAGCCAACTATTTTAGGGTAACTTTGAGCAGAAATGTTTATTACAGTTTTTGTTTGTTTACTATGACCTCAAGTGTAAAGGCATAGCTTACTGTTAGGGGGTAACGTTGGACAGAAATGTTTATTACAGTTTTTGTTTGTTTACTATGACCTCAAGTGTAAAGGCATAGCTCACTGTTAGAGGGTAACGTTGGACAGAAATGTTTGTTACAGCTTTTGTAAGTGGTAGCAAAATGGATAACTATGTACTAATGTAAGGACATAGCTGTCCACTTAGGAGTGGTAATTGAACACGATATGTTTCAGGCTATACTGTGTATTGATAATAAACAATTCAGTTGCAGAGCTCCTATTAAGCCTGTACGTATCCGAATGTATCCTGAATGTGAATATGGTAAAGGTACATGTATTGAAAGTTCGAATTTGTCAGGGGTCATTATATTTCTGTACGAATCCAGGGCAAATCCGAGCCTATTATGTGTGGAATATATACTATAAGAATCCCGTTTTTCGGATTTGTACGGAATAGGCTCCGGATAGCAGTAACCGATGTTTCGGATTTCTGACGGATTCTATTCCGTGAACCGCCAGTATCCGCTTGTATCTGCCAACAATTCCGGAAAATCTCGGTACGCATCTGCCAAGATCAAAGGTCTTTTCTGAACGTATCCGGGTAAAATCCGAACGTATCCTGTGTGGAAGACTACAAGGATCCCGTATTCGGGATTTGTACGGAATAGGCTCCGGATAGCAGTAACCGATGTTTCGGATTTTCTGGCGGAATTCATTCTGATCCGTCAGTATCCGCTTGTATCTGTCAGCAATTCCGGAAAATCCCGGTACACATCTGCCAAGATCCAAATTCTTTTCTGTACGTATCCTGACAAAATCCGAACGTATCCCGTGTGGAATATTTACTACAAGGATCCCGGTATTCCGGATTTGTACGGAAAAGCTCCGGATTGCAGTAACCGATGTTTCGGATTTTCTGGTGGATTCCTTTCTGATCCGTTAGTATCCGCTTGTATCTGCGAAAAATACCGACAAATTCCGGTAAGCATCTGCTAGGATCCGAGGCCATTTCGTGCAGTGTGGAATCAAGTGAGCTTCAAGCTGCTGGCATGGAGAAGACACCCGATACCAGGCCAGTTAACGCTCTCCAGACCAAGAGCAGAGGTCGGAGGAATAAAAACAAACCGACACAGCCTAAGGGGAGTTGCTATAACTGTGGTGGCTCGTGGCCACACAAAGGGGGTAAAGAGAGCTGCCCAGCCTGGGGGAAAACCTGCCTAAATTGTAACAAAAAGAACCACCTGGCCAAGTATTGCAAAGCAAAGCAAACACCCAGGAGCAAGAAGGTTCACGCAGTGGAAAGAGATGAAGACATGTCTGAAGAAGACTACACTTTCCATGTGGGTGTAATCAACGGAATGGCCAGCAAGGGAAAACTCCCAAGCACAAAGGTAACGATTAACAAGAGGAAGATTCCATTCCTGATTGACACCGGAGCCAGTGTCAACATCCCTGGAGAAGAAACCTACAAGGAAGAGCTAAAGGACAGGTGCTCCAAGACAGCAGCACCGTGATCCGAACATACGGCGGGGGAGGACCACTAGAGATCCTGGGGAAGTTCCAGGCGAACATGGAAACAAACGACAACACATGCCAGTGTGTTCGTGGTCAGAGGAGCCAGTGGCAACCTACTAAGCTACGAAACGGCAGAGAAGCTGGGACTCGTCAAAGTCTGTGCTGACATAAACGTCACAGTAGCTGACAACGTCCAAGAAGTGGTCAAGGAATACGACGATGTCTTTCAGGGAGTAGGAAAGCTGAAAGATTTCCAGGTCAAATTACACGTAGACCCGTCTGTTGTACCAGTAAAACAACCACACCGACGCGTTCCGTTCCACGTCCGGAAGCAGGTCGAGAAAGAACTGAAGAAGCTGGAAGAAGAAGGTATCATTGAAGAGGTCAGCGGACCAACGCCGTGGGTTTCGCCTATCGTGGTTGCACCGAAACCCAAGACACCATCTGAAATCAGGATCTGCGTCGATATGAGAGAGGCAAATACGGCGATTAAGCGCGAGAGATACGTCACGCCAACCATCGATGACCTCATACACGACCTCAACGGAGCGACTCACTTCTCGCACCTAGACCTCAGGTCAGGTTATCACTAACTAGAACTTCATCCAGACAGCCGCAACATGACGACCTTTGCCACACACGTAGGACTGCGGCGCTACGAGAGGCTCATCTTCGGAATCAACTCCGCCAGCGAGGTATTCCAACACACCATTGAACAAGCCCTGAGTGGTATCAAGGGAGTCAAGAACATCAGCGACGACATCATTGTCTACGGCAAGGGCCAGACCGCACATGACCAAGCGCTCCGCGACACACTTCAGCGTCTCCGTAAAACAGGACTAACCCTTAACCACGGGAAGTGTGAGTTCAACAAGACAAGCCTCGAATTCTACGGCTACGTCTTCGGCAAATCAGGAATCTCAGCAGCGCCCAGCAAGGTCAAAGCGATCGTCGATTGCTCAGCACCGACAACGCCCGGCGAAGTGCGAAGCCTCCTAGGGATGACAAACTTCCTGTCAAGGTTCGTCCCTGAGTATGCATCAATAGTGAAGCCACTACGAGACCTTACGAGGCAGAACACGCCTGGACATGGGGCAAAGAACAGGATGAAACCTTTGCAGCAGTGAAGAAGGCGTTGGCTGACGAAAAGAACCTGTCCTACTTTGATGTCGACAAAGAAACAGAGCTGCATGTCGATGCTGGTCCGACAGGCCTAGGCGCCATCCTCACGCAGAAAGGGAGAGACGACTCGAGGAGCGTCATTGCATACGCTAGCAGGGCACTCTCAGATGTTGAGACAAGATATAGTCAAATAGAAAGAGAAGCCCTCGCAATATATTGGGGTCTACAACACTTCCATCTGTACCTTGTTGGAAGCGAGTTCACGGTGATAACAGATCACCTACCACTAGTCAGCATCTTCAACAAACCCAACCTTAGACTACCTGTGAGGCTCGAGCGGTGGATCCTACGTCTCCAACAGTACCAGTACACAGTAGGGTACAAACCTGGCAGCGAGAACCCGGCAGACTACATGTCAAGGCACCCGCTACCAACGAGCGGTGACACACACACAGCAGATGAGTACATCAGGTACGTCATCAACAATGCAATACCAAAGTCGATGACGCTGGCAGACTTCAAGGAAGCGACGCTGCAAGACCCGACGCTACAAGAAGCGGCACGTTTAATCCAAAGTGGAAAGTGGTACTTGCGCAAAGAAGCCATCAACTGTGATCAAGCCCAGCTCGAGGCACTTTCGAAGATCAAAAACGAGCTGACGACAACGAGAGACCACGACCTCATCATGAGGAACACAAAGATCGTGGTCCCTACAGAGCTACAGCAGCAGGTGATCAACATAGCACACGAGGGTCACCAGGGCATTGTCAAGACGAAGGCCCTGATCAGAGAGAAAGTCCGGTTTCCAGGGATCGACGCGAAAACAGAGGAAACGCTAAAGAAATGCGTAGCATGCCTTGCGACAACCAAGACGTCGACTGCAACACCGCTGCAGCCAACTGCCATGCCCGAGCGGCCATGGACGGAGTTGAGCGCCGATTCAAAGGCCCGCTCCCTAACGGGGACTACCTCCTCGTGATCATAGACGACCATTCAAGATATCCGATCGTAGAGCAAACACGGTCAACATCAGCCAACGCGGTCATACCAATACTCGACAAGGTATTCGCGATGTTTGGCACACCAGAGATCCTCAAGACCGACAATGGACCACCATGGAACAGCGAACAGATGAGAAACTTCGCAAGTCACCTCGGTTTCAAACACCGTAAAATCATTCCATATTGGCCCCAAGCAAACGGAGAGGCCGAACGGTTCATGCGCACACTGGGGAAGACGCTGAAGACAGCAGCAATTGAAGGAAAAGCGTGGAAACAAGAACTCAATGCAATGCTCCGTAACTACAGAGCAACGCCACACACATCAACCGGCAAAGCACCAGCAAGCCTACTGTTCGGTAGAGAAATCAAGATCAAGCTACCCAACATAAAACCCTTCGCAGCTAACAAAGAAGCGATCCACAAGGACAACGCCACAAAAGCAAAGATGAAGGAGTACACCGATCAGAAGAGAAACGCAAGACCAAGCAACTTGCGCGTAGGTGACACCGTGTTAGTCCAGCAACCGAGACAAAACACTCTGACAGCTGCCTACGATCACCAACCATACCTGATCACCCACAAGAAAGGAACGCTAGTCACTGCAAACCGGGATGGAAAAGAAACAACAAGGCACACAACGATGTTCAAGAAAATTCCGACAACCATCCCAAGAGAGACCGGAGCAGACACACGTGCAGACCAACGTCAACAAACAACTAAGACAACCAACTCCGACTACATCACTAGATCCGGGAGGACTGTGAAACCGCCGGATAGACTAAATCTGTAAAAATGCATGCAGATGAAGTAAATGGACTGAACAAACGGACTCTGAGTATGGAAAAAGAAATACTAGTCATTTTGATTTGCATGAGTAGAAATCGTTAATGCATGTACTCTAATACCCATTAATAACCTCCTTCGAGAATCCGAGAAGAGGAGTCCCGGAGAACATCAAGAAAGAGACTGTATACCATCAAGAAAGAGACTATATAACCAAAGAAAGAGACATTTTACTTAAGTTGGGGAGGAATGTTATATCTAATGATCGACCCCTAACTCTAACCTCCTGACCCACACTAACCCTGCTGAGATTAAAGCAGTTCACGTTACACCACCACGGAGTGTGGACCCTGTCTGTGTCCGTCCTGCCAACAACTACCTTTGAGCAAGACGTTTAACGGCTAAGGACATAACAGTATCGTGATAGTGAAAACGATTTAAAACTTGTCTGGACACACACACCTCCTCGCTGATTGGTCAAGACTTACGAAGTTTGTAAAGCCAGAAGAACTTTGTCCCTCTTTACTCCCGACTTCTCCACGTTTCTGACTACCAAGTACTGACAACTCTTCGAATTCGTTAATCGATGGTTGCTACAGGTTACAACAATTGGCTGAATCAGCGAATGTACGAGGGGTCTTCCTATGTGGATGCAACAATTAAGGAACCACCACTACGCGACGGACCACCTGCGTCTACCCCAAGTTTTCACGCCGGCCCCGTACCGTCCCCGACACCGATGATGCAGATCCGCAGTGGTAACGACGGAGCGAAAATCAGCTTCCCCTTGGGAGAAAACGTCTTCGCTACCGTTGGACATTTCAGAGGAAAACCGACGCTGTCTGTGCGTCATTTCTACAGACCACGGCCTGACCAGGAGGACGTATGGAAGGGCGGCAAGAAGGGGATAGTTCTAACCCCCGAACAATGGCGTACTCTAAAACGCGAAATGTCCGGGGTGTCGTCTGCTCTGCTAGCTTGTACGTTTGCTACCATGCCTTACGACGCGACCCTGTTCTCGTCCCGCCGGTTTTTGACCTGGAAAATTTGACATAAGCGATCGTCGACGTCTTCAGAGGGCTGGCGGTCGTGACACTGCGGGAATTTTTCCAGCGGCGGCCAGAATTCCGACGCGGTCCAGACGACGATCCTGACGATCTCCTACCTGGCAGGAGAGGGCTCAACCTATCCGCCGAACAGTGGCATGCACTGGAGGCGCACAGTCAGAAGATGGATGCAATGTTGTGTTTAAGCCATTTTCATGTAATCACTTACCGCAAATAAGGTAAATGTTAGTACCCTGGTATATCAGACAAACCGGGTGTTACCGGTCGCGCGGGGAATGGTGGGATTTTTCTGGGGGCCTGTATGCGTTTTCCGTATTAAAAAAAGGAAAGGCGTAATCGGGCCTTTTCAGTCTTCATAATACGTAGACAACCTCCCAAAAAATCAACGTAATCCGTAATAGAACAGTAGCTGCAAAGCGTAAAGTCGTAATAAGGTCTAAGACTTTAACGTAATTCGTAATTGGCGCCGAAAATGTTGCATAATGTGTAATCAGTACCCCCCCCCCCCATGTAGGCCCTCTTCACCGTTCTCTATAGTTCCTATCGAGTTCCTATTATGCTAATTAATTTCGTTATTACAATGTATTACAACATCCACATATCTCGTGCACAAACAATGGTCTAGGGGAGGAATTCTAACTATCCACTTCTGATGATAATTCCTGCTATTTGACGCACAAGATACTGCCAGTGCTGGCGCGAACCTGACGCTGGCAGCAGAAAATGTCGACCGCTCTGCCCGAGGGCTGCAGACGACCGAATGTGAAAATGATCACGTGACGCATATGACCAATCAGCGTCAACGGAAGAAATTCGTGGGAGATTCGAAAAGCGTTCTATGATTGGTCTGCGTCAGAGTCATGGTGCACTGTTTATTGTCTAGATTGTTAAATCGTGCAGCCAGGATTATCACAGGGCGAACACTCAAAGATCGTGTTCCTACAGAAACCCTGCTAGCTGAGGCTGGTATGGTACCACTGGCTGATAGGGTAAAAGTGAGTACGCTAGTAGCTGTACAGAAGGCAGTTCGCCACAAAGCTCCTGCCTACATGACAAATATGTTTAAATGGCTATCACCCCCAGTGTTCAGAGTTCGCACACGCACTGCCATGAAACAGCTCCTCAGTTTCGACCCTTACATGCTGGACACTCCAAAAGCAAACCTGGAAACATTCAAAGGGAGTTTGCAATATCAAGGGCCACTAGTGTGGAACAGACTAGCTGTTGACAAACGGCAAATAACATCAACGTCTGTGTTCAAAACCAGACTGTGAAGGGACCGGTTTACTGAATGTGACTGTAACTGTAGCAGTGCACACTGTGATTTATATGTAATTGATTGTGATGTAATGTAACGTCATTGTGATTTTTTTCTCTGTGATATACTGTATTTCTAAATGTACCTTGGTTTGAGTTCCCAGGAATAACTGAAAAGCAGATCGGTAGATCTGAGTTATATCCTGGTTAAATAAATAAACTTGAAACTTGAACTTGCGACAAATCCTAACCAATCAGCTTCAGCGTTGAAAATTCGCGGCAGATTTGCAAAGCGTTCTATGATTCGCCTATAGAAACAGCAACAAACAAGGAAAATCTGAGATTTTATACCTCCGGGTAGTTTAGTGTATTCCTCAATATGTTATTTCTGATGTGTAGTTGATTTTATTAAATTTAATGTTCTAGATTTAGCATTTCAGACCTGGATCTTAGAGACCTATTAGCCGAGCGATTTGAGCGTCGGATTTTGAAGCTGGTGCTCGAGAGGTCGTGGGTTCGAACCCCGGCCCGGGACCAGGTGTTTCTTTTTGTTTCTACTACTCGCGTCTGTCTTGTACATAAGGGTTTACAAGTTGTGTGGGTTTAATGTTAGTAATGTATGTACATTTTTTTCATATATGCATAAATCTTGCATATATTTATGAAGTATATTTGCATAGATGGGAAGATACCATGCTCCCGTAACAGCGCGCACGGAAACAACTTTTCTTTGTTTAAACATATGCGCCAAAACGCTGTTTTGCACGGTTGCAAAGGCAAAAGTACCAAAGTAACGGGTTCCTTTCTCAGCACTCGGTGAACAGAAGCTTCTATAGCCACACACACGGGCACACACATTTAGTGAAAATATGCACAATTAAAAGAACTTTTTACGTTCGTTCAACCCGGAAGTGTGTACACCCCTGTTAGACGGCGGGGCGACCGCTAGCAGACAAAACCGATACGAGACACCCCTAAAATATTACGTGGACGTTACCGCCCATGACTTAATACACGCCCTAGAAAAGGTTCGCGGCCATTCTGACCATTACAGGGGTGTCCACCGCCGGTCTAAACACATCATTTTCACGCCCGAAAATAAAAATACTGTAAAAGCAAAACATGTGCACCATCTACACACCAACACCACAACGTATACAGAATCTGAATGAAAACCGACCACCTGCACGCGAGATACAGCTGCGTACATAAAATAGCTCGGTCCCCCACATTACCTCTACGCGGAAGGATATCTCCTTCCCCGGAGGTAAAAAAAAAAAACAATTGTAAAAACTTGCATCAAAGAAATGAAAAGAGCCTAAAATTGTTTGAAATGTTAAAATTGTTTGAAAATTTAATTGTTAAAAATATTAAAAGTGATCAAAAAAATTCAGAGATACGGATACGAACTCGAATTATCGTCAGCGCGTTAACCAACTGGGCTAACTGCTTTCGCACAACCACAGGAAAGTGTTCCAAACTACGACGTTTAGCTAGTAAAATGAGGGCAAAAGTGTAAATGTAACAGTTATGTCTTACCTGCCTATTTGTCGGGTATCGCCGCTGGAATGTAGCCCGAATCTTTTGTTGGGGTCTTCCTATTTACCGGAAAGCACCGGAAAACACCGGAAAGCACCGGAAAACATATATAGGAGGCTTAAATCTACCGGAATACACCCTTCATTGATTAGATAACTGCCCAACTCGCTGTATTTTGGCATAAGATAACTTATACGTAGCCCAGGAAACAAGAAATCACTTAAATACTGAATCGGCAATCGGCGGAAGCGGCCCAGCCAGTCGCCATGTTTGTCTACATAGCGTAACGCAATCGTTTGTTTAGCGCGAAATCACAGAAGAGAATTGAAATGTACCAAAATAAAAAGTTCTTTTGCACGTCAGCATCGCACTTTGCTTTATTATATTTTGACCATGGTATAACTTATGCGTGGCACAGAGAACAAAAAAATTACTATGAATCGGCAACTATCGGGCCCCGATAGTCGGCAGAGTCGATCGACAAACGCGGCCAGTCGCCATGTTGTTTACATAGCGTATGTTTGTTTAGTGCAATCACGTTAGAGAAGTGAAATGTATCGAAATAAAAAGTCATTTTATACTTCAACATCGCAGTTTGCTGTACTAAAGTTTACCCATAACATATTAAACTTATACGTGGCCCAGGGAACAAGAAATCACTATGAATCGCTGACAACTATCGGCTGGAGGCGACAAACGCGACCAGTCGCCATGTTCGTTTACATAGCGTATTGCATTGGTATTATCGTATGTTTGTTTAGTGCGATCACTGTAGAGACGTGAAATAAAGAGTTCTTTTATACTTCAACATCGCAGTTTGCTGTATTTTGACCATGAGATAACTTTTAATTAATATAGTGGCCCATTGAACAAAAAAATCCGGTCCCGTCACGTAATAAACTTAACTTAAAATTTCTTGTCAATGCTTTAGCAAGGACATTATACAGAGTGTATAATGTCTTTGGTTTTATGAATTTTAGTTAGAACCTCCTTTGTTAGATTACTCTCAGCAATAAAACAGGAATAGCATTTCTTAGAGAGATAGAATCAGTACTTGTCCATTTTTACATAATTGCAATATCTTAGGATAATCTAGTATTTCAGTGTCTTTGACTTCTGGGTATCATTTGGAACGGAACGGAAC